TTAAGCACGAATGGGTTCCACATTGGCTGATTATTTGAACCAGGACCAGGGCGTCTGTCAAGACAGCATCCTGTCAGTCACAACTTTTTGCATCAAAAGTAACAGTCTCACTAACGTTTGGAACAGTTGTGTTGATTGGTCAATTTCGTGGATGATTTCAATAGTTCATGTCGTGGTAAAAATATGCACACCATAGAAAGGCAGAAACATATCTGTCTTAATAAAATAAAGAAACGGGCCAATGAAAATGGCTTCAAGTCCTCTAGATCCAAAATGAATTGTATTTACTTATGTTGTAAATATACTGAACCACAAAAGAATGTCGCACCGATAGCGGTTTCTTAAAGCACACACTTTAATTCACTCTTATTAACAATCAAAATGGGGGGTTGAGTTCAAATTTGCCTATTATGGTTAACACATTTTCGAGAATCACATTTAGAGTTCACACAAACAAAATCACCAAAAATCGTACCATTAAGATACCCCAAAGTCAGTATTGTGTATGGCCTTCATGGGCATCGGTGAAATCGTTGCATCGTCTGTACATGGAATGAATTAGCCGGTTGACGAAGGATATATGCACTTGGGTCCATACTTTGCGAAATGCCTGACCGAGTCCAGCCGCAGTTGTCGGCATTGGTTGGAGGCCATTCAGCCTTCTTTGAATCTCGTCCCAAAGGTGTTCTATTGGACTTCAATCCCGACTGAGTGCAGGCTATTGTAGGGTTTGGATGCATGTTGTCTCAGGAAGTCCAATCTTGCTCTGCCACTGTGGGTACGAGCGTTGTCTTGCTGGAAGATGTGATTTCTGTAACGTCCAAAATGTGGTACAATGTGGGGTCTTATGACTTGGTCAATATAGCGAGCAGCTGTCACGTCATTTCCTCATCCTGGACCAAGATTCTGGAACACCACGGTGTCAACTAACTGGTTCAGACCGATTGCACTCCCATACCATGATGCTTGGACCACCCCACGAGTCTCTTTCAACAATGCACTCATTGGAAAACAGTTCCCCACGCCTTCACCATAGTCCCACTCTGCCATCGACTTTCGAAACACAATATCGGCTTTCATAAGATAAAAAGAACAGTTCTCCATTGTCGATAACGCCAATTTCGATGCTGAGTTGCCCAGTGCAGTCGGTTTTGGTGGTGATGAGCCGTGAAGACAGGACTACGATATGCTCTGTGACAGTAGAGGTTTCTTCCGCTGTATCAGCACTGATGGTTCTGTTGTGAGTCCCAATGGTCTGGCGTGCTGTTTACGTCGCTCTGGGGAAGCGATCCTGCAGATGGCTGTGCACAATCTGTCGGTCTTGACGTTGTGATGTAACTGAAGGTCGCCCTCTGCGTTAACGGTCTTGGATGCTGTTAGTGACCTGATACCACTCCTGCAGTCGGTAGATTATCCTAACATGAACATTAAAATGATTGGTTACTGGCTAACTTGCAATCGTCCAAAGACTTGGTTCCTCTGTTCTCGTGAGTCGTGGCATGGTGATTGTGTCAAAACAAAAATGATTTCAAGCGAGTTTAGGACTCGCTTTCATTGGTAGGGTTGTCACGAAAGGCACTTGTATTTTCATTTTCACGAATGTCATATGGAACCTGTCTGCCTTTTTTCGGTGCGTTTGGTCGAGATGCTTTTTCATCAGAAAACACCCTGATGTTGGTAATAACTGTCAATTTGGATTGAAAAACATGTTAACAACACCGTACAATCATAATAAAAACACCACCTTGTAAGAACAAAATTTTGCATTTGGTTTTGAAAGGCAACGTTTCTTTTGTGGTTCAGAAACAAACCTGACAAAGATCCAGAATTTGTTTTAGATGGTAGTCTCCCTTCAAGGTAGTAGAAGAGGCCAGATTCCTGGGACTCATATTTAACCTCATTTAATATTCTTACCACACATTTAATATTTGAAAACAAAGTACTTGAAGGCTCTTAACTTAATAAAAGTCGTTTCAAGACTCCTCTCCTTCACTTGTACAGATGATTAATTTACTCTAAACTAGATTATGGCTCAGTTGTCTATGGTGGCAATAGCAATTTAGTACAAATAGATTCAATCTACCGCCAAGGCCCGAGGCTCTGTCTTGGATCTTTAAACTTTCACTGCAGTATCAAATCAGGCAAATCCAGCATACAATTGCTATTTCAACCCTCCTGTTCAAATCTGGCAGAGGTGAAGCCATACGTGGATCTTACCCTCACCACATATCCATTTTTACAGACGAATCCATGACAAAGTTTGCCAGTGCCACAGTCATTGGATCGAAGAATGTCTCCTCAAGAATCCCTTACAAATAGCTCCATTTCCAATGCTGAGGCAAAAGCTATCTTCATGGCTTTGGCCTATATCAAACAGCAGAACCATTCCCAAAACTGATTAATCCTTTTAGATTCATTGTCTTGCCTTTAGGCACTTCAAAATGTCAATTTGAGCCACCCTATCATCCTTGACATTCTAGAACCTAACAATGCAACATCGTCCTCTGCTGGTTACCAGGTAACGTAGGCATAGCAGGTAACACAAAAGCCGATGCTGCAGCAAATCCAACTCTTAACAAACCGTTATCTCCCCTGCTGATCCCGTATAGTGACTTCAAACCCACTATCAAAAGTTATACTCGGGACCTCATGAAAAACATGGGACCTCCAGGTAGGAGGAAATGAACTTCACGAGCAGAAACAACAATCGGTTATACCTACTTGGGTTGTGATGAGGTAATTCGACAATGTCGTGTTGGCCACAGTCGCTTTACTCGTGACTGTCTGCTCAAAACAGATGGGTATGGACCTTTTCAGTCTTAGTTTGTCTCTTGCGATGAATTGTTTACCATCAAGAATGTATACTCTCCCAAAAAAGAAACGCATATAGGAATTTCAACTGTATTTTTATGTTTATTTTGAAACATTTTGTAGGCTTTATGAGTCAATGAAATATAGCGAAATTGCACACTGGGAATGCAGACTTATCCGTCTTTGGCATCAACTCGAGGAAAGTCAGTTTGAGTGTCACATGGAGACGTGTGGTGGCGCTGAAGTCAATACCTCATGTGACCACAGTGGGCATCCAGAACTACACGGCATCGCCTCGGCATCGAACGAATAAGTCTCAGAATCTCGTGTTGCCCAATCGCAGCCCACTCTGCCTGTGCCTGTGCGAGTTGCTGAAGTGTCTGGGGCTGAGGGTTACGGCGTCGCACCCGTCTGCCCAGGGCATCCCACAGATGTTCGATCGGCTTTAAGTCCGGTGATCTTGAGGGCCAGGGGAGCACATTGATGTTGTGGTTCTGGAGGAAGTCTCTAGTGTGACGTGCTGTGTGGGGCCTGGCATTGTCCTGTTGAAACAACTCCCTCTGGCGATCAATGATTGGAAGGAGGTGTGGGCGTAGGATTTCGTCACAGTACCGTTGAGCTGTCAGGTTGCTCTGGATCATCACCAAATCACTTCTCCTACGGCAGGTGATCGCTCCCCACATCATAACACTGCCCTGGCCGAATCTGTTCACCTGGGGAACGCAAGCGTCGGCGAAACGTTCACGTCGACGTCTGTACACCCGCATTCTTCCATCGCGTCGTTCCAATAGAAATCGTGATTCATCACTGAACCAGATTCTACGCCAATTCGGTAGGTTCCAGGCCTGAACGTTGGTGTACCATTGAACTCGATGTCGACGATGTTGTTGTCGAAGCACAGGGCCAAAATAAGGTCTTCTGGCACGTAAACCAGCCTCTCTCAACCTGTTCCTGACGGTCTGTGCTGAAAGCCTCCTCAATTCGGGTATTTGTCGAGCGGTACTTGTCGCCGTAGCTGTTCGATGACGCAGGTGAATCTGAGGTGATGTACCCGGATGTAGCGATCCTGCGCCACAGTGGTCGCTCGAGGTCGCCCACTACGAGGAGCATCTGCTACCGCATTCTGCCGGCGATATCTCTCCCAGAGCCTTGAAATGGTGCTTTGGTGAACATTCATGCGTCGGGCAACTGCACGTTAAGACTGGCCAGCTTCAAGCAAACCAATGGCGATATGACGGTTGGTTTCACTTAGGCATTTTGCGTTCGTCAACAATATTCCAAATACAGTGAATAATCGACAGACAGCGATCAACCTTTTATACCCATCATTGAGACTACCTGATCCCCAACTTTCACGTGCATTGCATGTGAATTGTGTATTCTGTGACACTACACACCGAAATTGAAAATCATGCTGTTAAATACGGGTATTTTAAGGATGGTGCGTATTGTTGTGATGTTTCAAAGCATAAACACCATAGGACTCATAAACAGAGCAAAACCTTTTGTAAAATGAATCACGTTTTAATTCATTGCTACATGAAATTGCTATGTTCATGATGCGTTTCTTTTTTTTCGGAGAGTATATATTCTGCTTGACTTTGAGGACGTCTCAGATTCTAGGGATTCACATTATGAATCAGTGAATCTGAAATATCTGTTTTCCTGTCATGTGTTATCCGTCATTGTTTACTACTTGGGTGAAATTGGTCTCTATCATAATTGTAACGTATATGTGTGATAAATTGACTGTTTATAAATTTGGTGTTATGACTTTTCTATTTGCAAAACATACTGTAATGAAAAAAAATATGTATTTTAAGAAACTCCTTTGTACTTCTTTGATTGACATTTTAAAAGTTGAGTTGATGAAGACTGATGACAATTATTATGGATAAATTTCTTTTCTTCTGTGAAGGGCGACGTTTCATCATAGATTCTAATGTCTTTGTCAAGCAAGTGATGATCTAACGACATTAGAACCTATGTCGAAACGCCGCCCTTCACAGAATAAAAGAAGTTTATCCATAATGATTGTCATCATTCTTCAACTCCTGTGTACTGTGTAAGTATATATAATGTGTATGTATGCAGACTCGGTCTTGTCGCTATGTGGCTGAAGCGATGCCAACTCAACTCAACTCATGTCACCTCCAGATATATAACAATGAAGTTTCTCTGTTTTCTAGACTTCGTATGCTGAGTACGGCTATGGTCAGACCCAGACAGTTTAAATACGTCCTCGCTGCGTTGATGGTATCTTCGGCAGCACTAACTACAGGATTATACGCGTTGCTAGGCAACACAAAGAAACAGAGTAAAGAGACCGTATTTCATCAAGGGAAAGCAGAACGAAGAACGCTGGTAAAACATGTGAGTAGGGCTCTTTCTGACCAGCTCTCAAGTTCATCGCCTGTTGAAGAGAGACCGTCCTGCATGGCGCTGATAGAGGGTGATGGGGAAGCGATGAAGAGAGCCGTTAGGTATGACAAGCGCCACCCCTATACACCGAACACACATTGTGTAACTATGGCGAAGAACTGCCAAACGTTTTTAAAGAGTGTCAATATACACTTGACGCAAGCATCGAGGAGACTGGGTTCCCTCTTGCGTTTAGTATAGTGATGTATAAGGACGTGGAGCAAGCGGAAAGGCTTCTCAGAGCGATCTATAGACCAACCAACTTCTATTGTATTCATGTGGATAAAAATGCGTCTGAGCTGGTCAAAGAGAATATGAAACGCATTGTGAACTGTTTTCCAAATGTGTTTACTCCTGAGAAGGTATTCGCTATAGAATGGGGGACATTTTCAGTCCTTGGTGCAGATCTGTCGTGCATGGGAGACCTGCTGGGCCGTCCACGCTGGCGATACTTCATCAATCTTACAGGGCAGGAATACCCTCTCAAGACCAATCTTGAAATTGTCAGGATTTTGAAGATCATGAATGGAGCAAATATAGTTGATGCAAATAGTCAGTCGTAAGTATTAATATGACGTCACAGACAGTGTCACGTGCGGACACGTTATGGAGAAGCATGTACAATGTGAGTGAACACACACCACCACCCCCCAAGAAAATTAAAAATTTAAAAAAAAAAAAAATTATGTATAAAGTAAGTGACCGATCCCTTAGTTGGTCTTACACAGGTTGTGAAGATTAACACACTGCCGGATTATCAATATGGCTGTTATGATATCTGGATTATCTCCCATTGTATGTATTAGCCAGGTAATACATTAATCCAGGGTTCAGTGTTCAGAGTAATAATGGTTTCGCCAACACCCGGTGCCACCACTGATACATTAATATGACTTTCACCGCTATACTTACGGAAAAAAAGTAACTGAGCATAACACAAAATTGCAGAAAATATAGGTTATTTGAAAAGTTATAAAAATATCTCTAAATAAACATGTAGCAAACCACTTTGCATGAAAGTTGATGCCACGTATCCAGTGTAGCACGTGCACAATGTGCACAATGAACTTAATGAAGAGGTTTTATCGACCCACCTAAAATGAACATTGAAAAGATGAGCTTAAAGACTCTGGACCTTCTTGTGCTTGCATTACAGGCGATGGAAACCGCGCCGCTGGGACATGGCGGGTCCTCCGCCCCATAACATCTCGCTGTACAAAGGCAACGTCCACGTTGCAGTAAACAGGAACTTCGTCGACTACGCCATCAACAATCCCATTGCTAAGGAATTTACAAGATGGCTCACACACACTAAAGTTCCCGATGAAACATTTTTTGCCACACTGAATCACAATCCGCAGCTCGGCATTTCCGGATCATCGACAGGTAGAGTGTAAAGTTGAAATCCAAATTCAAAGAATTACACAACGGAAAAACAGATGATTTTATTTAACAACTTATGAAACAAAGCACAAGAAATATACTACTCACAATTTGATAGGGATCATAGAAGTTTGATGATATGCAAATAACATATGTTATATTTGAGATTACACTTTCTTAGAAAAGAACAGATTCTAGTACGTTTGTTGGGTAGAGTCCCATCCGGGATTCGAACCCACACCCTCTGAGTCAGGCACCTAATCACCAGCACACGAAGTCAGACGCCTAGCCAAACCGAAAGTGTAATCGCAAATATAACAAATGTTACATTTGACCACATTCTAAAAGGTATTGCGTATTCATATGCAAGTAAGTTTTGTTACTGCCGCTGATAAACGATACATTGTTATAAGGACATATTGGCAGTGCCATATACTCATTTGCACGTGTATTTCATGCCATTAGATGAGCATGCAGCCTCACTTTTCTTACTTAGATGTAAACGTCACGTTGTCAGCTCACACTTGTGTGTGGATTGTTGATGAAGGTTTTGAAATTTCAGTACGTTTGTCATTATATTTAACACTCATGATGCCTCCTCAACGACATCGTTTGATGTCAGAGCAATTGTCGAGATGCATCGGCATGCTTGAATCAGGCTCCTCACAACTTAGCGTAACGAATGCACTAAACGTCAGCCAAAGCGTTGTTAACAGAGCGTGGAGCGGCAGCACACCGTCATGGCGGTGGTCGACAAGGGTCGACTAGTACTACTCAACGACAAGACCACTTATAGTCTGTTTGCAGTGAAAACGTACCGATGAATTTCATTTTAAACAAAAAGGTAACTCAAATAAAGTGAAATTAAGATTGCGAATCCAAATGAACATTCAAATCTGAGAATTTGATTCAACTTAGGATAAAAGTTGTTTAACAAACGATCATAGTTTCAAATCGCTTTTATTGGTTTGTATTACAAGGGGGTATGCACATTAAATGAAACACCGAGAACACGTTGGGTTAGTCTAAGTTAACACTCATCAGGTACCGCACGTGCATTTGTTTCACTGGTCCAACTACTGCGCTTACCCCTTAACTTGTTACCCCTATCAAATTGTTAAAGGTCACATAAACCCTAGGGGGTACAAATACATAAATCACTAACTGGCATCGTTATAAATGAAACCCCGTCATTAAAACTACTCATTTCGACCTTTAACTGACTTAAATCGACCTTTTAGACAACAGTGCACAATTCTCATCCGCGAACGAAATTTCAACCAATCAGAGCGGAGCGCCTCTGTGACGTCATATGAGGAATAGCTTTGAGAGCCGATGCAGAATTCATCTACATTTTAGGGGGTAAATTATCGTGTTTACAGGCTTGTATAAACCTGAAATCGTGACAACTGTTGTGGAAAATGAAAGCTATATGTTCTCACAATCTACTGTCATTTAATTTTGTCTCCTGCTTTGCCTAGTTTCCGAGTTACAACTTGTTTTCATAGACGATTCTGTCAAAATCGATTGGTGTCGTTAGGCCTTATTTGTATAATGACTGATCCAAATTGATCCCATTTCTGTGTTGTTTTACCTCGATATTTAATCATGTCATGTAAAAATCTGTTTGTATTCTCAAAACAGTGTCGGCCCATAAGTTTTCACATGCAATACAGCAATTAATACTCCCTCGTTGTAACCCGTGTTAGGTGGTATAAACCTACACATGTTATTTGTCATCATTCACTTGATGGTCAGTTAATGAATTTATAACAGGTATAATTAGTGGTAACACACTTTAGATTACCCGACAAAGGTTCCCATTTGGCATTTCTTGTGTCTGGAGTAAATATTCAACATTATAAACATCGATCAAAGGATTAACCGATAACACGCTGATTGATTAATTACTTTTATCTTACACAGAGGAATTGTCAAAAGGTAGTGTTTATGTATGTAGATTTACTAATCTATACTGAATACACTCTGTCGTGTCGGTGTCTGCGTAAAACAACGTCCTTCTTTCAAAGGATTAACCGGCAATACATTGATTGATTGCCCATTATTGGCTAACTAAATTACTGTTTTAAAGAAAGGCGGACATTATGCAATTAGTTGCCAGGTGTGCTATCTTGGGTGACCAATGAGACTATACACCAATACCTGAAAAGATTTATCACTTTTTCGTATATTAAACTGTTAAAAGACACATCATTTGGAACAGTTTTGTGGATATTGATGGATACATTCCTCGAACAAGGTAATGGCCTGATATTGTTCCTATAACTTTAATCTGTTTTAATTTTAATATTTGCATTTTGTTTCTATTCATTTGTCGTAGCATTCAACAGAATCATTGTTTTCGCCGTGAAGTGTAATGAGACAGACACCATGCACTAGGGTGTGTGTGCGAATTATGATTCACATTGGCAAACTATAAAATGTCTAGATATTACAGTTTTGTTATAAATTCACTTTAAGTATCAGCAGATCGTCTGCTTTTTATTTAGTTTCAAAATGCATACAAGTGTGATGATAAACTAATTAGGATTATAAGACCAAATATAAAGACGCACATTGACTAGTATCTACATACTGGTGAGTGGACATTAACCTAATGGGAATGTAGCAAGAAATTTATCGCGCAGTATTGTGACTTCGACCCCACCTCGCTTCCGTGGAAGAAATCGTTATGTTATAAGTTGTGTCATGCAAAATCCGTTTGGTTATGATTCCAATACATATTTAACAACGAGTAGAAAGTAGTCTTGATTTTCTAACTAGATGAAAACAAACTATAATCTCATTAATTCTAACAGATTTTTTTATTTTTAAAAATGGCGGCGCCCTGTCGGGAACATCCGCCAGTCTGAGGATAAATGGTATTTAGGTTTGTTTTCACCGAGTTACAAAATCAAAACTACTTTCTACTGGTAGTAAAATATGTATTTTATTGATGGCCAATAGGATTTTGCATGACATAGCGTATATCATAACAATTTCTCTCTCGTGGCAGCGAGGTGGGTGTCAATATAATACTACTTACAATATGATTGTTACTTCGACCGTCACAACCTCACTTCCGAGGAAGAAATCGTTATGTTACAAGTTGTGTCATAGAAAATCTTTATGGTCATCAATCATATGCATATTTTACTACAACTAGTAAGTAGTTTTGATTCTTTAACTTCCGTGAAGCGATCTGAACACAAGTAAGATATCGTTTCAGGCTTCCACAACGCTCGCTTCGCACTCACAAACATAACCCATTTAGCACGAACTGCGGGGTCCTGTGGAAATCTGTGCATGGGGACACCATCGCCCGACCCCTAGGAGCAATTGACGACAAAGCAACGATTCGGCATGTCGTCGTTGATGTCGAGAAATCATCAAAATGATGAGCGTGCTACACATTTTCTATACAACTAACTGAAAATCGTTCCTCATATGACGTCACTGTAGTGCTCTGGCGACAGAGTTACGTAACCTGTCTGTGGTTTCGTTGGCGGGCGAGAGGGAAGCAGGCGACTTTTTGGCCACTTTTAATCGCTCGGTATTAATTAACCACAAGTTTTTAAAGAATAAATTTGGTGTTCCGCATAAGACTAACCACAAATCTTTCATATGTAATGGTTAAAAGAGTAACAAAAAACAAAGTTTAGTGGTTCTTTAAGATTATATGTCATGTACAGAGGAGGCTGCCTTTGAAAAATCATCTGCTTGGAATTAAGAATACAAATCTGATGAAAGTACCTTTGATCGATCGTTAAAGGGTGTTTATTAGTTAGTTCGTGATCACTCGCTTCATAACAGTGTTAGAGCCTCCACCAAAGAAACGTCGCACCACTGTGCACAACAAGAAGTTGATCATCATCCATATATTGTCATCCTGCCATAACACCCTAACTTCTCAATGCCTCTAATGTCATCCTGCCATAACACCCTAACTTCTCAATGCCTCTAATGTCATCCTGCCATAACACCCTAACTTCTCAATGCCTCTAGTGTCATCCTGCCATAACACCCTAACTTCTCAATGCCTCTAATGTCATCCTGCCATAACACCCTAACTTCTCAATGCCTCTAATGTCATCCTGCCATAACACCCTAACTTCTCAATGCCTCTAATGTCATCCTGCCATAACACCCTAACTTCTCAATGCCTCTAATGTCATCCTGCCATAACACCCTAACTTCTCAATGCCTCTAATGTCATCCTGCCATAATACCCTAACTTCTCAATGCCTCTAATGTCATCCTGCCATAACACCCTAACTTCTCAATGCCTCTAATGTCATCCTGCCATAACACCCTAACTTCTCAATGCCTCTAATGTCATCCTGCCATAATACCCTAACTTCTCAATGCCTCTAATGTCATCCTGCCATAATACCCTAACTTCAAATGCCTCTAATGTCATCCTGCCATAACACCCTAACTTCTCAATGCCTCTAATGTCATCCTGCCATAATACCCTAACTTCTCAATGCCTCTAATGTCATCCTGCCATAACACCCTAACTTCACGCCTCTAATGTCATCCTGCCATAACACCCTAACTTCAATGCCTCTAATGTCATCCTGCCATAATACCCTAACTTCTCATGCCTCTAATGTCATCCTGCCATAACACCCTAACTTCTCAATGCCTCTATTGTCATCCCGCCATAACACCCTAACTTCTCAATGCCTCTAATGTCATCCTGCCATAACACCCTAACTTCTTCAATGCCTCTAATGTCATCCTGCTACCCTCATCCACGCCTCTAATGTCATCCTGCCATAATAACTAAACTTCAATGCCTCTAATGTCATCCTGCCATAACACCCTAACTTCTCAATGCCTCTAATGTCATCCTGCCATAACACCCTAACTTCTCAATGCCTCTAATGTCATCCTGCCATAACACCCTAACTTCTCAATGCCTCTAATGTCATCCTGCCATAACACCCTAACTTCTCAATGCCTCTAATGTCATCCTGCCATAACACCCTAACTTCTCAATGCCTCTAATGTCATCCTGCCATAACACCCTAACTTCTCAATGCCTCTAATGTCATCCTGCCATAATACCCTAACTTCTCAATGCCTCTAATGTCATCCTGCCATAACACCCTAACTTCTCAATGCCTCTAATGTCATCCTGCCATAACACCCTAACTTCTCAATGCCTCTAATGTCATCCTGCCATAACACCCTAACTTCTCAATGCCTCTAATGTCATCCTGCCATAATACCCTAACTTCTCAATGCCTCTAATGTCATCCTGCCATAACACCCTAACTTCTCAATGCCTCTAATGTCATCCTGCCATAACACCCTAACTTCTCAATGCCTCTAATGTCATCCTGCCATAACACCCTAACTTCTCAATGCCTCTAAAGGAAAATATCGGGTATTCCTTGTCCACACTTTTGAAACTTTTGGGCAAATTAATGTTTTTCTTTGCATCTAAAAAACCGTAAACGTTTTTAGCAAATGCTACACAGACTCAGTACGAGCAAACATTTGTACGCGGGGCGGTGGGTAGCCTAGTGGTTAAGGCATTCGCTTGTCACGTCGAAGACCTGGGTTCGATTCGCCACATGGTCACAATGTGTGAAGCCCATTTCTGGTGTCCACCGTCGTAATATTGCTGGAATATTACTAAAAGCGGTGTAAAACTGAACTCACTCACTTTTACACTAAACCATTGACAAATTCACCCACAAACTATCTGAGGGCGAGCTGAACGTTCGCGTCCTGCATCACTGTGTGGGGCTGAGAGCCGTAGTGTACGGTACAGACGTTAAACTTATTAACCCATCCACTTTGCCTTTGCAGGACCGGTGGATACAGACTATGACAAGAAACCCTACATAGCTCGCTTCAAGAACTGGGGACCAGGGTGGGGAGAGAAGTCCTTCGACTGGCCCTGTGGCGGTGGACGGTCACGTAACGTTTGCGTGTTTGGCGTGAGTGATCTCCCCTTGTTGGCGTCCCGGAGGGAATTGTTTGCAAACAAGTTTTATGCTAGTTATCAACCACAGACTTTGGATTGCGTGGAGGAACGGTTAAAAACAGGACGGTCCTCGAATATAAAGGAAAGTTTGATTTCAATTATACATTTTACCGAACTATGCCTCATCTCAAGTATATTTATAGGCCTCATACTGAAACTGGCGTGTTGCCGTATGTTTAATCAAAGGAACGCCGAACTGAACAGTGTTTCGATTTCATCAAGGCCTGCCAGCCCTAAGTGAAGCAAATATTGTGCTAACAAAGCAGGAAACATAATCAAGGGGAATCTGGGTGATCTGTTGACACAGCTGAATGACTCCACTATAGAAGAATGCAGCTTCTGAACTGTTGAAAGTCGTATGTATTGGACATCACCACTATTGGAAGTCATAGAGACTGGACATCGTCACTAACTGAACACATCACTTGGAAACTCATCCCATTTAAAAGTGTCAATACTTAACGTCACCTTTTGTGAAAGTCATCACGTTTGAAAGTCTATGCACAGGAGATTTATTACATTAACATCTAGTCTCTGAAATGAGCAAATTTTACAGATTGATACGGTTCATAAATATTATAATATTAATAAAACATAACGAAAAGGAGCCCAGAGACTTTCTTCATTTTCAGAAACTGTGGTAATCCTGACCTGCCACATATTCTAGACTTGCATGGGGTTTCTTGGATATATTTGTTTGTCTGTATGACAGACTCGTGATTTATGGAAACACGCAGTACAAACTACCCTACAAGTCATCGTGGGCCCCAGCTTTGTTCCTATACTTTCTTCCATGTATTGCTCTCTGTATCTGTGCTGATATACTGAATCACAGGTCAATCCTTGACATTGTCAGTGGGCCACAGAAGGCCTTCTTTGTCCTACTCCCGTGTGACAACAGCTGGTTCTAAACAAGACCATAGGCTCCTCCAAAGATCGTGAAAACCTCGGTGATGTAAGGCTAACTGACATTCTCTGTGGCAAGCTGTCCCTGTCCACTGTGCTTTTTGTGAACTGTGTTGCATTTCAGTGTCGATATGATAAAATGGATCGTTGACAATTGATTATGGTCACATCTGTCCCGTCGCTTGTAGCAACGTCACCTCATTTCGGTCTGGACAGCGGGGGTTGCCTAGCGGTTAAAGAGTTTTGACGTCACGCCGAAGACCCGGGTCAGACTCCCCACATGGGTACAATATGTAAAGCCTATTTCTGGAGTCCCTCGCCGTGACATTGCTGGAATATTGATAAAAGCGTCGTAAATTAAACTCACTCACTCATATCGGAAAGTCATACCCCAACACATGTAAGACTTAAATACACGTACATGCCTTTCTAAAAAGTCATCAACCCGTGAAGATCCGGGTTAGAATTGATCTTTAGCAACCCATGCTTGTCGTAAGAGTCGACTAACGAGATCAGGTGGTCAGGCTCGCTGGCTTGGTTGACACATGTCATCGTATCCCTGTTGCGTAGATCGATGCTCATGATGTTGATCACCGGATTGTCTGGTCCAGGCTCGATTATTTACAAACCGCCGCCATATAGCTGGAATACTGCTGAGTGCGGTGTTAAACTGAACTCACTCACACACTGAAAAGTCATCAGACAATTTACAGCTCAGGTGCCTCTCGTAGCGCAGTATACGAACGGACTGCCGATAGCTGCTGCTATTGAATAGTGAATGATAAACCAGGGGCGGATACAGCTTTTTGAGAAAGGGTGTGTGTGTGTGTGTGTGTGTGTGCACATTGAATTTTCACCCGAATTCCAATGGTCATTTAACAAACTTTCAGCACCAAAGGTGCGCACCCCTGCACCCTTCTCTGGATCCGCCTATGATAAACACATGCACATTCTGCTTCTAGCAGAGATTTCTTGTGGTTAGGGAAAGGATTTTGTCATTTTCAATAATAATTTTCAATCTTAAATAATTACATCATCTTCACGTTTGTGTTACACCAACATATAATGTAGTGAATACATTTTAAGAACAAGGAAACAACTTCTGTATTTTCATACACAAATTTTAAGACACATCATACTATGAACACTGTAACATACAAAGGTTACCGGTCATTTTCTGAATCACCCACTTGGTAACGGAATGCGGAATAAAAAGCCTGTAAATATACAAAGCCAAGCTCTATGATGGGCCAAGAACTACAGGGAGTAGAATGTGAACTAACAGTGAACATTATATGGACGGATCTCATCACAACATCACGGCGGGGGACACAGATCTCATCATAATATCACGGCGGGGACACCAGATCTCATCATAATATCACGGCGGGGGACACCAGATCTCATCACAACATCACGGCGGGGGACACCAGATCTCATCATAAATTCACGGCGGGGGACACCAGATCTCATCACAACATCACGGCGGGGACACCAGATCTCATCATAATATCACGGCGAGGGACACCAGATCTCATCATAATATCACGGCGGGGGACACCAGATCTCATCATAATATCACGGCGAGGGACACCAGATCTCATCATAATATCATCCACCAGATCTCATCATAATATCACGGCGGGGACACCGGATCTCATCATAATATCACGGCGAGGGACACCAGATCTCATCATAATATCACGGCGGGACACCAGATCTCCATCATCATCATAATATCACGGCGAGGACACCAGATCTCATCATAATATCACGGCGAGGGACACCAGATCTCATCATAATATCACGGCGGGGACACATGGCGATCTCATCATAATATCACGGCGGGGACACCAGATCTCATCATAATATCATCGGCGGGGACACCGGATCTCATCATAATATCATGGCGGGGACACCAGATCTCATCATAATATCACGGCGGGGACACCGGATCTCATCATAATATCACGGCGGGGACACCAGATCTCATCATAATATCACGGCGGGGGACACCAGGATCATAATATCAGATCTCACCAGATCTCATCATAAATATCACGGCGGGGGGACACCAGATCTCATCATAATATCACGGCAAGGGACGCCAGATCTCATCATAATATCACGGCGGGGGACACCAGATCTCATCATAATATCACGGCGGGGACACCGGATCTCATCATAATATCACGGCGAGGGACACCAGATCTCATCATAATATCACGGCGGGGGACACCAGATCTCATCATAATATCATGGGGACGGGCGACACCAGATCTCATCATCACGGCGGGGACACCAGATCTCATCACAACATCACGGCGGGGACACCGGATCTCATCATAATATCACGGCGATGGACACCGGATCTCATCATAATATCACGGCGGACACGGATCTCATCACACCAGATCTCATCATCATATCGCGGCGAGGGACACCGATCTCATCATAATATCACGGCGAGGGACACCGGATCTCATCACAATATCACGGCGGGGACACCAGATCTCATCATAATATCACGGCGGGGACACCAGACCAGATCTCATCATAATATCACGGCGAGGACTCCAGATCTCATCATAACATCACGGCGGGGACACCAGATCTCATCACAACATCACGGCGGGGACACCGGATCTCATCATAATATCACGGCGAGGACACCGGATCTCATCACAATATCACGGCGGGGACACCAGATCTCATCATAATATCACGGCGGGGACACCAGATCTCATCACAATATCACGGCGAGGGACACCAGATCTCATCATAATATCACGGCGGGGGACACCAGATCTCATCATAATATCACGGCGGGGACACCAGATCTCATCATAATATCACGGCGGGGGACACCAGATCTCATCATAATATCACGGCGGGGACACCAGATCTCATCATAATATCACGGCGGGGACACCAGATCTCATCATAATATCACGGCGGGGACACCAGATCTCATCACAACATCACGGCGGGGACACCAGATCTCATCATAATATCACGGCGAGGGACACCGGATCTCATCACAACATCACGGCGGGGACACCAGATCTCATCATAATATCACGGCGGGGGACACCAGATCTCATCACAATATCACGGCGAGGGACACCAGATCTCATCATAATATCACGGCGGGGACACCAGATCTCATCATAATATCACGGCGAGGGACACCGGATCTCATCACAACTATCACGGCGGGGGACACCAGATCTCATCATTATATCACGGCGGGGGACACCAGAAATGGGTTTCACACATTGTACCCATGTGGGAAAACGAACCCGGGTCTTCAGGGTGATGAGCGGACGCTGTAAGCACAAGACTACCCCGCCGCCCCTCATAAATAGGTGATGACACCCGGTGTTAGCGAAAAAGGAAAGCATCTTCTGATGATTAATGACCAATCTTCCTGTATAATATATGAAGTAATCAGTTCGAATACGAATGCCTTGGCTTTTCAATTTCGGATTTTGAAAAGTAATATGAGTACGTCAGCTGCCACATTCACTGTGGACTAATCTAAGTAATTCATTGAGAAGCAGTTGTACACAGTTTCATGATCATCTTATCCCATTCAACAAAGTTTTTCAACCAAGTTTTATTGCTGCAATACGTATTGTTTGTTTGTTATGTAATGCCAGTCAGTAAGTCTTGATCTATCACGGCAGCTTGTGAGTAGTCGTAAGTAATCGACTCTGCACCAGACAACCCAGAGGTGGAAATTGTCAGCAGCCGTCACCACATTGGGCTGCTGTAGGTGATGCTACAAACCAACTCGCCGAGCATGACCAACCAATCGTTTTAGTCGATTCTTACGACAGCACAGGCTGTCGGCGACGCTGAATTCTAACCCTGAATTCTCCGGACCTGTGGTGTTGAGTGTATCTTCAATGATGCAGGAGAGACTTTATGTTTAACTTTTAGACAAGAGTTCGTGCATCTCCCGACTGCCGTACTGATAACTTAGAAAGAAAATATTTTTTATAATCTACTTTTAATCTACTATGATCTACTTACCCATATTGGGTATTGAAACCGAGGCTTAGAGTGTGTGACTTTAGTTTTAAGCTGCTTTTAGCAATCTTCTAGCAATGTCACAGCGGGGGACACCAGAAATCGGCTTCACACATTGTACCCATGTGGGGAATCGAAACGGGTCTTCGGCGTGACGAGCGAACGCTTTAACCACTAGCCTACCTATGTGTTCCTTAGGGGTGTCACCGACAGGGCTAAATCTTCTCGCGAATACCAGGATTCATCACTATTGGATAGTTAATTACCAGTATATGCTTTTAAAGTAAATGAAATCGTTCAATGAAAGTTTGCATTCAGCAGAGTCTTATTACCATGGATCCATGGTCATGTGTCACTTTTTGCAACAGTCCGAACACCTGGTGTCGCCCCTGTTGAATAGTATTGTATAATCACCTGCTCAATATATAGTGGGATTTGTACAATTGATTCAAATTTAAGCAGGGTTTCTTTTGGAATATGCAAATGGATTTCTCTCCTTTAAAATATTCTAATGCTAACCGATAAATATGACTGGAGCGTGTGTATTGTAACTCTATACAAACAGATCTTCAATATATCCCAAACCACAAACACGTGTTGCCGTCACATGGCGACCACCCCACCTGTCCCTAAGACCTACATGTCTTGTCCACCCATCC